GAATCAGGGACATAGATAGGGAGTGGACTGACAATTCTCAGGGGGAAGGGAGTGTGGGGGGTGCGGGAAAAGACTGAACAAAAATTGTACACCTATGGATGAGGACAGTGCGGGTGTGTGTGTGTAAGGGCAGGGGGTGGGATGGGAGCCAGGTGGAGGGGAGCTATGGGGGGGAAAAATAGGAACAACTGTAATAATCTGAACAATAAAGATTTATTTAAAAAAAACAAAAAACTTCTGCCTGCACAGAGATGTTGAGATTGGCTTTGCAACAAGAATCCCCCATCTTCTCAGGTGTCCAGCACTTGAATAAATCACTTTCCAATTTCAACAGCATCTGTCTCAGGAGTTTGGCTTATGTGGTAACAGGCAGCTGAAAATGGGTTCTGGTGACATGGCCCTAAAGCCAACATAATGTAGGAGAGAGGCAGAGTGGCTGGAATGGAGGATAGTGTCTCACAGGTGGCAAGTAAGTGTGGGGGAAACTGAGGTACAGAAGAGGTTTCTGATTGAATTAAAGAATTTGCAGTGTTCTATGACCTCATGACCAGAGGGGACATCAGCAGTGGGCACCTGAATAATACTCAAGGTACAAGGTGGTCATACCATGCTACAGTGGAGACCCCAGGTCAAGCTGGCCAGTACAGCCCTGGCTGGTATAGCTCAGTAGTTGAGTGTTGTTCCATGCATTGAAGGGTCACCCATTGGATTCCTGGTCAAAGGCACCTGCCTGGGTTGCAGGTTCAATCCCTGGCCCAGTTGGGGCATGTGGGAGGTTCTCCCCTCCCTCTTCTGCCCCGCCGCTCTTCTTCCCACTCTCTCTGAAAAGCAATGGAAAAAATATCCTCAGGTGAGGATCAACAAAACAAACAAACAAAAAGATGGCCAGAACATATTGTTTCCAGTGGATACCAAGAATTTCAGATGATTCGAATGCTTGGGGGCAGGATGAATAATAATCTCTGCTGACATCTCTACAGCTTTTAGCAATACAATAATCGGATTTATTTTTCCTATGGGCTAGTTGTTTAGTGTGATTAGATTCCACAGAATAGACAATGGGTTCAGAGAGGGAATGTAGCAGTGAGTCAGCTCAGTGCTCAGCATTGAAGCTTTGTGTCTCCAAATTCACCACCTCTCCGTCCCCTTCACTGTTCCTCTTGGGCCTTGCTGATGGCGATGACAGTCATTCTAGAGCTCATCTCTCATGTCCCGATGAAAGGGTGCCTACTAGTCTCCGGACCCGGAGATGCTGTTAGCCCCTGGTTACTGACTCTCATTCCATGTGACAGTAAGGGGCTGGGCCAGGCTGCTGTGCTGCACGTGGCAGGAGTAAGGGCCTCTGTCCAAAGAGAGGATTTTCACCACCACCCAGGACTGGTAAGTGCCATTTTCACTGAGAGGACCCTCTCCCCATGACTCAGTCTCCACTACACTGTCTGCCTGAGTCCAGTACATACTGATCGGTTTTGGGTAGAAGTTGTCGGCCACGCACTTGAGGGTCCTGATGTTTCCTGGGTTCACATGGCTGGTGATTGACACAGAGGGAGGGTCTGTGGAGAGATACAGCACAGAGTTTGAAGGTCTGAGGGAGACATTTCCTTGTTCATGTCTCTCCCACCCCTGGAGTCAGGGATGAGCAGAGCTCTCAGTTTTCTACCTGCCTCCCCAGGAAACTTCCAGATCAGGGAAGCTGAGGCTTTCCATGAGGCTTCCCTGTTGGATAAAGGAATGTCTGTGGCTACTTCCTTGCCTCCCAGCACCCACCTGCCCACCCAGTGTGGATTGACTTCTGGTGGCAAGAAATTTGAATGTCCCGTGTTTTTATGTTTTTGGTTTCTCTCTCCTCGCCGCCCCCCTTTTTTTTTCCCCCCCCCCCCCCCCCCCAACCTTCCAGTGGGCTTTGTGGCTCCTGCCTTCCCCAGTCTGTCTGCTGCTTAAGAACTTCTTTCTGATTAATTCTTAAACCAAGGTCTCAGCTTGTGTCAATCAATCCTGCTCACACTTACTCATCTTCATCCTTCCTGGGCAGACATGTTACACACCTGCCTTCCCCACAGCCACGCCGGGAGGCATATCACAGAGAGAAATGACTACAGGATTTGCCTGAAATGTTCCCCTGAGGTCCCAGCCTGGGGTCACCTTTGTTTTTCTCAGCTCAGTGTGAGGAGGAGGACAGAGGGAGCAGTAGGTACCTTGACGGTCCAGGAAGGGCCTGCTGAATTGCAGGTACTTTTGCAGCTTCCCGGTGCACTCTTCTTCCAGCGAGGCCTTGGCCCGCTGCACAGAGCCTTCTGTCTCCCACTTCACCTTGGTTTTCAGAGCTTCTGGTTGCAGGGGGATCCAGGCTGGGATTTCTGTGTCGAACTTGATGTAGTCCCGTCCATCATAAGCAACCGTCCAGAATGCCCCACAGTAGTTGTTATTCTGAAGTTTGCAGCCATACTTTTCCTGCATGGTGTGATTCCCTGCAGGCAACCCGATCCCCCAGAAATCAGTCAGCCTGGCATCAACTCTGTCTTAATAACTTACTCTTGCACAGTTTGCAATGAGGAAGAAAGGGTTTTGAAATCTAAAGACGCAACCCCTTTATTTTGGCAAATGGGTTATTAGCCAGACAAAGAGCAGGCAGAGAGAGGGAAACAGTATGCTTTGGTGTTTTAGGCCAATCTGAGATGAGATACGTTCTTCCCAATCATGGAATTTCAGATTGCTACAGGCTGTGAATAGATCTTCTAGTCCCATGAAGCACCTTTTTGAATGAACATTTAATATACTCTGAGGTCTTAGGAACCTGACACGAGCACAGAAGTTCATTTTCAAGTTAAATAGAAATTACTTGTAGTTAAAAATAGATTGTGCAATCTGTCCTCTTTTCCCGTCTACATGAAGTTTGATGTCTCCAGTTGAGTCCACAGAAGTTGAGCAGTTCTTCCCTCTATTCTGGTGTCTGATATTTTCATTACAGATCTTTAACATGGCCTCCCTTCCCAATTGGAAATTGGCCTTCGGAAAGGGGGGAAGAGTCACTTTATTCCTATTATAAAAGTAGGTGTTTATCCAATACTGACTAGTGCTATTGGCACTGGCTCTGATCTCAAGCTATCTGGGTTCTAATCCCAGACCCATGTCCACCCTCACCTGACTTGTTGTGTAAATTTCAGCCAATAACCTTTTTGCTTCAATTTTCTCATTTCTAAGATGGCAATGGAACTATGTTAGAGGGTTATCTTGATCATTGCATGTGTCAATACATGTGCCTAGCACAGCACATGGAGGTCAATAAATGTCAGGCCTTATTATTTTCTAATACCTATTTTCATACCATGATTGCTCACATCCACTTTCCATTCCAGCCAATCAAACTTTGTTTTAGTTTCCTTCCCAGGCACCTGTGCCGTACCCACTCCTATTTTTGAGCACAGTTCAGGCTGTTTTCTCACTAGGACTTCCAAACTACATCCTCAGATTTAGTAACTTTTGCCTTCTTTTGTAGTTTCTTGTTTATTTGTTTTTTAATACCCAGAAACCCATCTTTTGACACCAGCCCTATAATAATTTAAAATCACCAGTTCATCAGGCCTGTGGTTGGCTGGCTTGTGGGGTAGGCAGCATGGTCTGGGAGAAAGAAAGCTGGGTTGGGAGATGGGAGAACTAGTCTCTGAGCTCCACCTTGCATGACTCCTCACACCATAAGACCTGGTGACCCCTCCCACCAGTCTCCTCCTATGGACAGGAGGGTCTTTATGATTTTATGGAACCCTAACAGTTTGTGGTTTTGAATTCAGTCCTTCCTGAGCAGCTAGTATGAGCCATGGTTTGCACTAGGTACTTTCTTCCAATCACTCAGCATCTTGTCTGTCTTAGGTTAAGGGGCTCCCAGGGATATCAAGACAGGCTATGTCCTAGCTTTCACGGAATTTACCTAGATCATTTTCACAAAATCTCTTGGAGGCAGGACTCAATGCTCCAGTTTTGGCAGATCCAGACCAGATAATTAAGAACATGTTCACTGTGAAACAGCTAGTGACTGGCAGAGCTAGAACCTGAACCCTGATCAGAATGACCCAAAGTTTGCTCACTCCCCACCCAACATCCCTGGGTGGGGGTGAGTCTGATGCCTTCTAAAGTGGGATCCACCTCAGATGGGTGGGGGTGTGGAGCTGAGAGGACAGATGTGCCCACAAGGGCTGACCCTGACAGCACTTGGTGTGAGAGTTGAGGCCTGGGAGCGAGGTTGGGGGAAGTGATGGGGAAGGAGGAAAAGCAGCTGTGATGTGTTGGGGCAGGGGGAAGGGGGAGAGATGAAGAAATGTCTGTAAATCTCTCAGTGTGCGGCTGACTTTTTCTTTGGCATGGGGAGCATTTCTAGCCTGTAGACCCCTTTCCATTCAAAATTGCAGGGCTGCCTCTTGAGCTAAGACCTTCCACCCCAGCAGTCCATAGTCCACTGACCTGTGTCCTTGTAGTAGCCCATGATGTCTTTCAGGTTCTTCAGGAAGAAGTCCCCCCTGGCCTTTTGAAATTTACTTAGTTCCTCCCAGTCCTCCATTCCTTCCACCTGTTTCCATGGGCCCAGGGGTTCAGCTTTTTCAGTTTCACTATCGTAGTGGAAGAAGGCCTGGTCGTTGAGGTAGCCAGTTGCCTGAAAACTGGGGAAGCCCTCCTTGGGCTTGGATACCCCATTGGAGTGGTAGGTCAGAGAATAAGGCCCTGAAAAAGGGGAGAAAAGAGTGAACTGTGGGATTCACGCAGGGGAGTCCCAGTGTGGGCAGCAGAGGGCCAGGAAGGGAGACCTGATCACTGGGCTCTGTCCCCCCAGATCTCTCCACCTGCTGCCACCCATGCACTATTGGATGCTCAGTTGAAAGAATGGGCTTTATTTCTATTCTGGGGATGATACTTCAGAGACTGTTTTGTGTTTTACTACATTGTATTCTCTCTTGGCACATAAAAGATGGTATTTCTTAGCCTTTTTATAGGTATACTAGAAGCCTGTTGCATGAAGACTCGCATAATAGGCCTTCCTTCACCTGGCTGCCAGCACCGGTTTTCCTCTGGCACCCGGGACCCAGGCCTTTGGTCCAGCTGCAGCGGAGAAACCAAGCCTCTTCAGTCTTCAGTTTGGCCGGAGCCTTCAGTCTTTGCTCCGCACCTGCGTATGCAAATTAACCAACATCTTTGTTGGGTTAATTTGCTTACTCATCCTATTGGCTGGTAGGTGTAGTGGAGTGACACCAATTTGCATGTTTCTCTTTTATTAGTGTAGATTGGGACCATGACTGAGTTCTGTCAAAAGGAAATGTGGGTGGAAGTGATTTCTTTCTTCTGGTCGGAGGCCCTATGAGCTGATTTGAACCCTCTGTCTCTCTTTTATTTAGGTGATGATTGTGGAGGCCACAGGATAAAATAGAAGAGTCCCAACATGGGAACTACCTGGATCCTTGAATCACCACATGGAAGACAGGAATATCGTCTGTTCAGTGTTCATGTTTACAGGAGCAAAAAAATAAACACTTGCTGTGTTATGCTACTAAATACTGTCTTTGTTATTGGACCATAACCTAGTTGAACCTAACAAACACTATAATTAGAAAGTGTAGGAAGAAGAATTAATTAGTAACCACAGGAAATGACCTAGAATGGATCAGCATACACTAAGAACAGGATGGAACTCAGAAATGCCAGGGCTGTCCCTGTGCTTTTGTGTGAGTCAGGGAGTGGTAGAGGGTTGGGATATTTTTATAATAAATTTCAAAATGGATTCCTAATATAACTCTTACTAGAGGCCTGGTGCATGGATTCATGCACCTGTGGGGTCCCTCCACCTGGCCTGCAGGGATCAGACTGAAATTGGATCTCTGACACCCTCCAAAGGGGTCCCAGATTGCAAGTGGGCAGTTCTCAAGTGACGCATCCTGGAATTGGGCTCCCTCCTCTCTGGTTCTGGGTGCATCACCCAAGAACCGCAGCTGCCAAGTCACCACAGCTTGGCAGCTCCTGTGTTGAGCGCCTGCCCCCTGGTGGTCAGTGTGTGTCGTAGCTACTGGTAAGAGCATCTGCCCCCTGGTGGTCATTGTATAGCTATCGGTTGGATGGTTGCTTAGGCTTTTACATATATAGATGGGTGTTACTAATGTTAGAGGTCATATTCCAGATTTCTAGTTTCAGTACTTAAGTTATTCTTTTCTTTTTTAAAGTTGGGGTAAGGAAAAGGGTAAGGTAAGGAAGGGTGGAGGAGGTTATGAAGAAACAGATATTACTAGCAAGAAGGTGAAGGGAGGGGGATGGATGGGAAAGAAGGGACAGTTGTAGGACATACAGGACATGAACTAGGCTCAGTGATACCAAAACTGGGCCTCAACTCTCCTTTTCACAAACTTAAACTTCGGAAACATTGAAAAGATGCTATGGTATAGGAAATGTGAAAAGCAGTGGGCATGCTGAAAGAGTTTCAAAATAAGAAAAAGTATCCAGGGGGAACAAAGAGCTTAGGTTAGGTAAAAAAACATGGAAAGCTTGTTAAAATTAGGGGTAACAGGAGATGAAGAATGAGAAAAGTTCAAATGTAAAAAGTAACAAGGGGAAAGAAGAAAAGAAGAGATAAAAAGTGGGAGTGAGGACACATTTGTGAGTTATTCTCACCAATTAGTTTCTAAATGTGATTGCCATTTTACTCAGTAGATGTTGAGTAAAGCAGATTACTCTCCATAATGTGGGTGGGCCTCCTCCAATCAGCTGAAGGCCACAGGAGAAGAGGCTGAGGTCTCCAAAGGAAGAAGGCACTCTGCCTCCAGATCGCCTCTGGACCCAAGACTGCAACGTCCTCTCTCCTCTGGGTCTCCAGTGTGCGGACCAACCCTGCCGATTTTGGACTTCTCAGCCCCCACCATGGTGTGGGCCATATCCTTAAAATAAATGTTTCTTTCTGTGCATATACATGGCATTCACTCTGTTTCTCTGGAGAACACTAAATCTAAACTGGATTTTGGTGTAGGATGTTATTAACAAGGTAAATATAATCAATAGTTATAAAACACAGATTCTGACAGTTTGTAAATGTAAAAATTCTAACTTCCACAGGTTAGCTTCCATTTCTTCATCCTGAAAAAGAGCTTCAGGACTCTGTCCTAAAATGGACTCTGCCCAACCTCCAGCTGGCTTCTTTCCTGGTCACTAGCCTTCCAGGCCCACTGTCCAAGTGTCTAACTATGCGGGGAAGGAATGGGCTTGTTTCCAGAAGTATCCTCCAGTTAGTATGCTTTTACAAGTGCTCTCTGGAGTTGTTATCTTTCTCCTCGAGAGTCAGACAGATACACCCAGCCATTGGAAGGAGGGAGGAACAAAAAGTTGCACCGGTGTGGCCACTGTTCTGTCCTGGCTGTATGACCCAGGACAGGTCACTTCACTGTCTGGGTCTCAGTTTTGTTCATTTGCCTACTAAGAATTTTAGATTCTAATTATTTAAGGCCTTACTTAGCATGAGCCCAGAGGCTCCCTAAATGCTTCTGTGTGAGCTGTGTGAGCTGAGGTAGCTGACAGCCTCGAACACCCATTCCTACTGTACACTGGGAATCCTGGCTTCGTCTGGGGCCCTCTCCCAGCCCATCTATCTCGCTCATTCCCTCCCCTGCATTCTTCTCCATACCCAGCCCTTGGTTCCCAACTCACTGTTTTGAGTGTCCTGGGTGACTGCAGGACCCACAGCAAGCAGCAGGGACAGCAGGACAGGCACCATTGTGCTCATCGTGTCTGAGTGGAAGGTACTGGATGTCCCAGGTCCTGGTGCAGACTACCTGGAGAGACAGCCAGATATAGTTTTGGGAACAGCTTGGCGTGGAGCCCTGCCCAGGTGAGGTAAATGCACAGGCCAATGAGAGTGCCAGGCTGGGCCCCTCATCTGACTGTGAGGAAGCAGGATGCACAGGCCAGGCTGGGTTTGTTTTCCTCAGTGAACACAGATGCTCTGCCGGGTGATCTGGGACTGGGACTTTGACATGGGTCCACACCGTTGCCCTCTTGGCAGCAGCAGGTGATTACAGGACTAGGCCCATTGTGTTATTTGGTTTGTGCTTCTCCTGCCTAAGTCTTAGTTTCTCCATTGATTTCAAGAACTAACTGGTAAATAAATGTATTTTCTGCTTAAAGTCAGAATCGGAATCTGTTTCAGCAACTAATGATGTGACTGTTAACAAAATTGGAAAAGGATTCTTTTTAAGCAACAGTCACTCAGGGAAATGGAGGAAGGGGAACCAGGCTTGGTTATGGGGTCAAATTGGGGTTAAAGGCAGAGTCTTACAGGCTATTACAAGGAGTGGAGGGCCAAACAGCCAACTGAGTCACCTCTTATGGTCAACCGGAATAAAATGCTCAGTGAAGGTAAAATATTAGATGTCAAACAGCTTGAGAAATGTAAAGGCAAGGTGTGATGATTGAGTCCATAGGGCTGGGAAGCTTAAAAAAAGTGTAATTAACTCAAAAGCAGAAAGTATTGACTCAAAGCACAGTCTGAAAATCAGGTGATAGCTATGATAGTGCAGAGAGGATCTTTTGGCTTGTCTAGTTTTAAAGATGAAACAGACAAAAAATGAACAGTGCCTAATGATTTAAAGCTAAAAACAAAAAATAAGTTTTCATAACTTAATTATAAAAGTCTGAGAAGTCTAATAGCCAAGTGTGACCCAGACATTCCTGCAAATCTTACACAATTGCTACTAAGGATGGGTGACAAGAGCTTCATCAGAGGAGGAAGTTAAGTGCGGAATGGCATTTGGAAAGGCTTCCCGAGAGACGTTGTGGATGAGGGAAATAGCCAACAGGAAAAGAATCTCTGTTGGCAGCAGGGGGCAAATTTTACAAGGACAGGGATGTGTGTTCTGTTCATTTCTCTGTCCCCAGTACTAAGCCCCATTCCTGGCAGAAAGAAGACAACAAATAAACACAAAAATAGATCAATCGGTAAATGAGCAGGGACCAAAAGGGATGGCCAGGTCTATCTGAGAGTCACTGAAGCCATTTGGTGGAAGTGGAGTTCAGGAAGGAGAGTGAGGCTATGGCAGATGGAGCGATATATTCAAAAGGGAGGTTGAATTCTAGATGACCCCCATCCAAAGAACACCCAATGTCTTCCAGCGAATGAGGCACATTTTATTATTGTGTCTTTTCCTTTACAGCCTATATTCTCTGCATACCCTATCCCTAGATCACCAGTACTTAGTCTTTTGTGCCATCTCCTCATTCGCTGAGACAAATTTTATATTTTCTTAATTTTTAGAATTTATTTATTTATTCCTTTCAAGATGATATTTAATGCATTATAAATACTAGTAAAACACAGAATAGAGCAGAAGCCAGTCACATGGAAACACAGGTCTTTCCATGCGTTTTTTGTGGCCTGATGGTTGTTTGCAAAGGGGTCCCCCATACAGAACAACATGCTATCCTAAAGTGACTCTGTCCTAAATGCAGGTTGCATACCTGTCAGGTCCTGTCACCCTCCTCTCTCAGCTGTCTCATACCTTCTTGGTCAGCAACAATCTTTCTACCTCTTTTTGGCAAGCTATGTTAGGCTTCTATACCTTCTCTGAAATCTCAATCCTTCCAGGAAGTTTCTATGGGGGTGTGAATGACTCTGTGCCCTCTCCTGTTCCCCCATAGTCTGTCAGGACTCCAGTCTTTTGAGGTTTCCTCCCTCTGGTCCAAGTCTGCCCCGCTTCTCATAAGTGGGGTGAGACCTCCCACTGTAATCTGCCTTAGCCTTGGGCTATTCATGTGGACTTCTGTTTTCTTCATTGATCTGAAACTGTTCTCCTGTGACATGTTTTTCTTTATTTGTTCTAAGTTGTTGGTGTGTGTGTGTGTGTGTGTGTGTGTTTAAATACCACTGGCTGGTTTATTTCCTTCTGAGTCATTTGCTTTTTCTTTCATTACTACATATCAAAGACAGCATTTCCATATACTTCCCACCCAACACAATGTAATAAAAAAACAGTAATGTGAGCCCTGACCTGTTTGGCTCAGTGGATAGAGCATTGGGCTGTGGACTGAAAGGTCCCGGGTTTGATTCCAGTCAAGGGCATGTACCTTGGTTGCAGGCTCGATCCCAAGTAGGGGGTGTGCAGGAGGCAGCTGATTGATGTTCCTCATCGATGTTTTTAACCCTCTATCCCTCACCCTTCCTCTCTGTAAAAAGTCAATAAAAACATATTTAAAAAATAGTAACGTGAGTGAGAATGAAAGCGCCAAGTGCCTTATCCTGTCCACTTTCTTTTTTCTCCCTGGGGAGCTCAAGGTAAGTACATAAATTAAACTTAGGCCCCTTTCATGACACTCAGGAGTGGGCTGACAATGTCCCTCTCTGTGCCATTCTTGCCCTGAACCCAGAGCTTTGAGAGTAGTTTTAGTGGGTTAAGTAGGATTCTGAGGAATACCATTCCTCTAAACCCTCCTCTTCCGGTAGGTCACCTACCCTTTCATATCCCCTTTCCTCAAGGTGCCTTGGCCCTTCTCTTGCTCAGTGTTGGTGAGTAGAACATAAGAAGCTGTGAACACTCAGTCCAAGTAGTAGGTGATCCCTCTGAGCATCTCAGGGCACTCCTCCTCCAGACAGGCCTCAGGCACTTAATTGAGATGCTCTCTGCTCCCCCATTCTGGTTGGTGTTCAGGGCTGCTAGGGGAGTGGGCCTAAGCTGTGCAGTCGGACATTCCCCGAGGGGTCCCAGGCTGCAAGAGGGCGCAGGCCGGGTTGAGGGGACCCTCCCCACTCCCAGTCGATCCTTCACGGCTTATGCCCTGCCAGGGGAGTACTGAGTTGTGGCCTTGATCACTGCCAGTGAGGATGTTCCTCTGCCTGATTCCTTTGGAAGGCCCAGATAGGAATATTGGTGCTCTCCCCTTCCTCCAGGATTGACCTGAGAACCACAGGGGGCATCCTGGATGATGGCTGTGAGGAAAGCAGGGGGTGAAAAACCTCCTAGGGTGCTGTAGATGGGATGGGGGCACTGCACAGATTCTCCTCACACCTCCAAACACACACACAGAAGGGCAGGGCAGTTGGCTGCTGTAGCCCGGAATCTTGAACCTTTCCTGCATCCCACATCCATGGGAGTCACTGACGATCAGTATGTTAGCACCATTCTGAGGCAATCCTGCCTCACCCGTAGGAACAATCTGATGTGACTCAGGGAACAACTGGCTGATCGAGCATGGAGGTGAGGGTGGAGGAAGAAATTGGGGAGGGTGCTTTTGGGAAGGGCAATTAGCCGTGGGCCTTGAAGTTCCTGCACATTCATATGTCATTTATGCAAAACCCCGTGTGATTTTAACCAGGCTTATGACAGCTGACTATAAAAGCGTGCATTCCTCAAGCTCAGTGTTCTTTGATTGTACTGCAAGCCTCCTGCCTATAGAGCATCCACCTGGATTCTTTGAAGTTACTGCCTGGGAGTTAGGGGTTCAGGATAACCCTGGCCAATATGCTGCTCATGCTGCTTGCTGTGCCACGATCACCAGTCCTTCGACTCGCTCTCCTGTCTTCTGCCAGCATCCACAAAACAGCAACGGACTCATTCATTGGGTTGAAAGTAGTGTTAATTTCCAGACTTCAACAAGTATCTGTAACTCTTTTGTTTGCATTTGGATCCCCATTGGGAAAGGGGACTTCATGTGCTAAGCTGATCAATCCCTCTGTTGATGTACCAGGCTGAGCAAACAGCCATGGGGAAAAGGGGTTGAGCAATGAAGACCTCCAGATGTGCTGGTGCAATTTTGGGAAACCTGATCAACTACTGCAGGGTGAACAGGATGATTCAGCTCCTGCTGACAGCTTCCTGGAACTCTGCAGCAGCCACCATACACATAATGTCCTCCCTTCAGTAAGGTCCAAGCTAGACACTTACATTTGTGTTGGTGTTTCTTGAGTCTAAGCAGTAATATCCTATTTTGCCACAAGAGGGAGGCTGGGAGAGGAACATCAGATCTGCTGACTTTCCTGAGTCACTTGAATAGTTTCTTTCTTGGGATATCTTGGGAATATTGAGGAAACAGACACAACAATATTCATAGCTATTCCAAAAAAACATAAAAATGATTTTTAATCTTTATATTATTTGCAACTTTTCTTTCCATCTAGCTTAAGAGTTTAACTGCCTGGTCGAGTGACTGTAGAGTGATTACGTCTGCTCCTTTATCTTGCTTTTAATATCCCCATCTCAAATTCCCGATGTCCCCATCTCCCTCACTCATCTTCAGTAATTCCTCATTGTTTTCTCTTCCCTGAACACACACTTTTTGGGATAAGTGTAATGCCTACTTAGGGTTTTGACCTTCTTCTGATTATTCAAAACAGTAACTCCTGACTAGAATTTTACCCAATAGAGTGAGTTATGGTTAATGATCCAGATTTTACAGAGCAAATTACTTAATTCCTATATGCTTCAATTTCCTCATTGCTACACTGGATATTATAATAAGAACTTTATCACAGTGTTTTTGGTGAGAATTAAATGAGATTATAAACACACACACACACACACACACACACACCTGTTACATAGGATTGGCTTAATAAATACCACTATATAATTACCTAGGGTCCTCCTCTTTCTGTCTTTATTCATTACTCCTGTTACGCATAACTTCTGACTAAAACTTTTCTGTTCCAGCCAATGTCCTTCCTAGTCCATGTGCCTTAATCACTCCTATTTAGGAGATACAGACTAATTTTCTAATTTCTCCTCTTTGAGATTTCCGATTCTCTGCAGTTTGGGGGGCATTTTGTTACCTAATCTCACTCTTTATCTCTTCTTCT